TTCCAGTCTCCATCTCTGGGGCCCATAGGCGTAAGTCTTGAAGTTTACTGGCCTGACTCCACCGGGGGACGAAGGACGATGCAGTGAGCGGACCTGCGTCTGAGAAAGCCAAATTGATGACGAAGCGGCATTTATTGATACCACCTACCCACCTGCTCACGCGACCCAGAAGCGAACTATTAATCATAGCAGGTTAGACCCCCTCCCCGCTGGTTTTTGCGTATTTTTAAAAGCAAAGACCATTTGGCAGAGGAGCAAGGATGAGCCACGAAGTCTGGTAGTGCCATTTAATCCTACTTCGTAGTAAACCTTGGCTCTGTTGAAATCTCCTCCGGAAGCGATTGTGAATGCATTGCTGCAGCTGCTACGTAGGCACAGTGCTAAGTTGCCATGGCATTCAGAGGCTTATGGACCCCCCCCCTCTCCGGGAAAGCGGCATCTAGGACTGGGGATCAGCATTACTGGGAAAGTCAATCATATGAGACTGGAAAATTGGGCCCATACAACCACATATTTATCAAATCCGGCCGGTTAAGGTTTGGGGCATATCCCAGTAGCTGATTATCGGGCGAATCTTAGATTCAGCTTGTTTACGAGCGTTCATTCTAAACGATAGAGCCTCATCCATAACTGAAATGTACACTGCCTGCCACGCTGCAGTACTTCAGTGATAGTGTCGAGGTGCAATGGTCATCAACTCAAGGAATATAAAATAAAAGTCAGCGAATGCACTTATTTGGATGGCTTTTACTGCAGCAGGAGTGCGTCACGCAGCTCAATCGGTAATTCTTCTCAGGAGACGTGGCATCCTTCTAAATGTATGAATGCAGCTGCGGTAAGCCGATGAAGACAAAGATTCGAAAAACTAGTTGACGAGGCTACGTTTGCTTTTGATAAATTCTCGTCAGGCTAGTACATTTACATGGGAACGGAGTCAAGTCAAACATTTCAATGACGAGAAAAATAGATTAAAGCTCGTTTTAAAACACAGACGGGCTGTGGGAATATGGGAGGGGAGTGATAACAGTCATGCCAGGGGTGGGGTGAGAGCGGAAGGGAGCGGAGATTTACACGTAGTTAGTCGAGCTGTGAGCACGATAGGTGGGGAACCTGAGCGAGATTCATCTGCACACACAAGACCAGCTTTCGTAACCTGACTGTGGCCGCTTCTACCGTTGCTAACAGTGTTGGTCCAGCAGCTTAAGGTAGTTCAAGGGAACCTTATAAACCCCACGAAAAACTTCGCTGGGGTCCACACGATACCCCGAATCAACTGCTCGTGTGAGTCGGCACCCATCCAAAGGAATAGGGAAACACCTCCCGGTATGGCTGGGAAAAGACGGAACCAAGAGTATAAACAGCGCCATTCTTGCATATGCTGTTGATTCCGAACATCGTGTGGACCCCAACGAATAACCCTTAGCTACTGGCTCAGTGTATGTTAGCAACAGTAGAAGCGGCCACAATCAGGTTACGAAAGTTGGTCTGGCGTGCGCAGATGAACCTGGCTTAGGTTCCCCATCTACCGTGCTGACAGCTTGACTAACTACGTGTAAATCCCCGCGCCCTTCCGCTCTCACCCCACCCCTGGAATGACTCTTATCACTCCCCTCCCATATTCCCACACTCCGCCTGTGTTTTAAAACGAGCATTAATCGATTTGAAGGCGAAATTGTGAATTCCAGGTGTATGCATAAGTGAAGAAGAAGAGTCGAGCACCGGAACACTTTGTTTATTGTCCTGAGCTTTCAGACTCGTGCAGGAGTCCATCGTCAGAGGTAGTGGCAGAAACAGGACAAGCGACAGTTATAAGGCATGTAGGCTAATCATCGATCAACGGCGCAAGACTGGAAGTGACTGCGCAGGACTCTGTACGCCGGCGCCAGATCGATAAATCGATTGACCGATTTCTCATCCGAGACCCAGGATTCAATCAATTCTCGGCCTGTTTTTGTTTCCGGCGTGGGAGACTATTTTGGTGGCTGCGAAGTTAAACTCGTGACCCATTTCGTAGGTGTGGGCGGCCACTCGTGATGATGAGTCGCCTCATCGCACAGCCAGTTTATGTTCGTGTATGCGCGATGCAAGCAAGCGTCCAGTCCGCCCTGTGTAGTTACAAGGACAATTTTGACACGGGATGCGATACACTACTCAGGATTGCTCTTTAGGCTTTAATCGGTCTTTGATTTTCATGACCCTGTTGCGCATGGTGGCTTTGGGGCGGTATGCAATTCCAACGCCTAGCTCCGCAGCAATGCGCTCAGTCTCTTCTGAAACGCCCTTGATGTATGGCAGAGAATGCCATATCGTCGGTGGTGTTGATGTTCGAGTTCTCTGGTGGCGACCACGTAGGCAGAGACTTATGAATGCCCTCGGATAGCCATTGTGCACATACTGGTCGCGGAGATAACGGGCCTCACGTGCTCTGTCCTCCGGTTTGCTGCAATGAGTTTGGATCCGTTTGAAGAGCGTCTTCACACAACTTCGTTAGCGGGCCACCGGATGGTTGCTGTGAAAACTGAGAAGCTGTGTGGCGTTCGTTGCTTTCCTATAAACCGTCGTTTAAAGTTTATCGTTAAGGTTTCGCCTTCATCTAATCGATTTATATAACCACTGACATGTTTGACTTGACTCCGTTCCCATGTAAATGTACTGGTCCGACGAGAATTTATCGAAAGTAAACGTTCGCTCCCCCTGCGTGTCTTCAGAATGCTGGCACGGGAATTTGCGCAACCCGAAGACAGAAATATCGATCGACGTCACGGCGTCGGCGATGCTAGGGTTGATTCACACGCGCGTGCATAGTGCCTGGCGGGCTTGCTGAGCCGATCGAAGGCGGTCGTGTTGACGACCGTGAGAGGGGACAATTACAGTAGGTGGGCTAACTCATGAAATGGCAAACGAACTTCCTAAATGTTTTCGCCTCGAAAAGATTAATTAAGTAGGGTTGTAAAACTAATTATTATTCAACATAATTCTATAATAATTCAGTTACCTAGGGATGCCGGCTTTCGAACGAACTTCTATCCGGCTGCATGCGAAAACTGTACTCTGTAAAAAATGACTACTTAAGTAACATGCACTTTTCTCTTTGATTTTCGATGCCCCTGAAAGTTCAATCATATTTTATGGAAAACATGCATAAAAACATTCAATTTACAGCTCATTCGGCAGAGAATTACATCTTCTTCCAATTTTATACTCGAAAGAAAGGTTGCCAAAAACTTTTCCAATTTCCGAATAATTTTGAACCCGCTCTGCCTTCACGCTTGCATTCAGGGTTTCCAAACTACAAGCCATGTGTTTTCCGCATACGGAAAACCACAGATTTCTCTACAGTATAAAGAGGAGACCATATGGGGTTCATAAAATTTAGCATTAGATTTGATCGACGTTGTTAACTTTACAAGCCACACTGATAAATGAAGAGACGTGACGTATTATGAACGGCCATTTCACGGTATTAAAAAGTCTCACAATTAGAAGCTTTTTAAAACCGAATTACGACTCTCCTTCGAGTATAAAATTGAAAGAAGACGTAATTTTCTACCGAACGAGCGGGAAAATGAATATTTGTATACATTTTTTCATAAAATATAATTGGAATTTTAGAGGCTTCGAAGATCAAAGAGAAAATGCATGCTATTTAAGTAGTCATTTTTTTACAGAGTACAGTTTTTGTATGCAGCCGGAAGGAAGTTCGTTCAAAATTTGGCATCCCCAGGCAACTGAATTATTGTAGAATTATCCTGCAGACTGATTAGTTTTACAGCCCTATTTAATCAATCTTTTCGAAACGGAAAAGTATTTCGGAATTTCGTTTGACATTTCATGAGACAGCCCACCTACTGTACATGAAAAGTGTTGGCAACGCCACTCTGTAACGTCCCACGAACGGGATAGAGTTGTTTGAGTTAAGTGACACCTCCAACGCGGACCTAGGATGGTGATGGTCAAACTGCGAGTCAGTTAAAGTTGCCGGTGTCCTACCCTCTCTCTCTCTTCACCCGCGATCCCCCACCCCACAACTCGCCGTAACGCTCGCTTCTCTCTTTCCCTCTATGCCCGCACCTCCCTTGGCCCTCTTCTGTAATTGTCCAAAGCGCTGCATTCCCACGGATTGTTCAATAGGCATGCCAATGTTGCCTCAACATCTTGCAGTAACTCATCCCGTTCGTACAATTAACGACTATATTATGTATCACCAGCTTACATCTCTTCTAATTACACCTCACTTAACGTTTCTCCTTTGCCTCCGTGTTGATGAGTATTGTGATGCGGTAACCACTCTATTCAGACCGGTTTTAGCCAGGCTCTAATGCCAGTGCTTCGCCACCTTGATGTGTGTTATCCTTGTCGTCCTCGGCCGCTACAACCCAGCCGAGCTGGGTCG